TATAATAACTGGTTGAAAAAAGCGAGTTTGGCATCTCTCACTCGCCTCTTTGAACCAGAGAGATGCAAAAGCAACTAATCATCAAAAAAATTAACAAACTAAGTCACAGTTTTGGTTAATTTTTTCTTCATTTAATTCTTGGGCTTGTTGCAATAGTCTTTTGCTCGGAGAAAAAATTTTAGGAACTGCCGTTTTTCCCACATAACCGAATTAACTTGACGAGGACTTTTCTTAACCGATACCCGAAAAAATTAATAACACTTATTTTATGAAAAAAGAAATTGAATTGCTACTCTTGGAGACTGGTTTGTGATGACCGCACTACCAAGGGCAAAAAGCATGGAGTGCTAATGCTTTAACTAAAATTTTGAAGCAGATGGAATACGGTGAAGTAGCTCCACACATTCTCCAAAAAGCGGCGGAGAATGGCAAATTATTTCACCAGACTATTCAGGAATTTTTCCGCACCGGGCAGCGGCCGCGACTAACGAATTTTTCTGCCACCAAGTTGGAGAGGAAAATCCAGGAAACTATCGATTTTCTCGAAAAAGAAAAATTTGGTTCTTTTTGTGGGAGTGAAAAATTATACTACATTTTTCATAAAAAAGAATTATTAGCCACCTACATAGACTTAGAGTTTCAGGATTACATTATTGAGTTGAAAACTAGTAATCTTAAAGCTAGCCAAAGCCCAACTGTCCAGTTAATTTTTGAAATGCAGTTGCTTATTCAACACTTATGCACGGGCAAGGATATTTTTTTATTATGAAGCACGGGACAAGGAGTAATTTTTCGGCAGTTTCAAGTTTCGGAAAAGCTTTTAAAAATACTGGATATTTTGCTTGACCTAGCTCGTAAAGAAAATACTTACTCGCCCGAAACCAAGAAAGAGATTATTCAAGGAATAGTTAATGATTACTCGCTTGCTAAATCAGTCAATTAAGTGGGGGGCAATTTTTAAGAAAAAAATCGTGTTCCTCAGCTGTTGGTAATTAGAAAAAAAGCTCTAA